CAGCTCCCTGCCTTGGGGCCCCACTCTCCTGCCGAGCTGAGATAACATGGAAGGGAGGCCGGAGCGGCCCTGTGTGTCCTGCAGGGGCTGTGGTGAAGGCCGGCTGGGATGAAGCTGCATGGTGAGGGAAGCAGCTCCACTCTGATGTCAGTGCCAATGTGGAGCAGGATCTCCTGGGGGAGGGGGAGGAAGGGGTGTGGGGATCTGGGACTCTGGGCCAGCCTGTCCAAGCATGTGGGGGGTCGGAGCTGGGTGTGAAGTGGGAGTCAACCTCCTCCTGGCTTGAATCCCAGCCGCTGGCACTGACTCAGGCTGGTGAGGATGGTGCCGATTGATTCCACAGATGGAGGCAATGATTAGAGCCAGCTGCTCCCAAACCGGAGATGAGTCCCCTGGCTCCTTCACACCCAAGGGCCCTCCTTGCCCAGCTGCCACTTCCTCAGCACTCCCAGAACACCCCCGCCCCCTCCAGACTGCCGGACACTGGCTGAAGGGGTCTGAGACCCACTGATCTCAGCAGCGCCCACCAGGACGGACTGGCTTCCGTGAACTCACTGCCCAAATGAGGCCCATCGAGCCAGGCTGCTCGGGGAGAAGGCCTGAACAGCACTACCAGCCGTAGCCCTGCCTTGGGAGCCGCTCAGCTGCAGGTTCCCCTGACTTACGCCCTGACTGAGCTGCGCAGCCATGCAGAGCTGTACTGTGTTCCTGGCCCAGCCGAGCCACCTCCCAGCAAATACTCCAGCTGCTTTGGATAGGGCTGTGGAGCGGGTGCCCATTACGGCGCAGTGCCACCATGGGGAAGGGTGGGCTCAGATTTGCACATACAGCAGAAGGTCAGTCTCTTGGTTTTGCATGAAAACCACGGTGCCTCAGCCCCAAAACCTCCATACCTAAGCACAGCACAGCACTGGCACATCAGAGGTGTTCCAGGAAAATCGATCTGTTGGCGTTCCAACTGCTGATCGGTCAGAAATCGGCCCCAGAGTGAGTTCCCACTCTGAATGCCCTGATTTTGCAGGCCCCTCTAGCTTGAGAACGACACAGTGTAGGGAGTCCAGAAGGCGGGTGGCAGAGCGATCAGGCAGAGGGAGGGAAGCGGTCTTTGCGCTCGGCGTTCGTTTGTTAATTTACAAAAGGGGATTAGAGGGTTGGGTCACAATGGTTGATTTATCTTGTCCCGGTTAGCCAGAGGGGCCGTGGTTTAGTGTCCTGATTCGTGGGGGGAGGCCATGGTGCAGGAGAGCTGGGAGGGGTTGGGACAAAGCCGGTGCACCACCTCATCCCCTGCAGAGGAGGCTGCCCTTGGGGCTCTGGGGAAGTGAAGACCCTGTATCCTCTGGAGCAGGGGAGGGGGTTCAGGGGAATGCCCCCCCATTCAGGCTGGGTTAGTGCTGGACCCAGCCCCAGCTGAAGAAAATGCAAAGATTTCAAGCCAAACATGGGCAATGCACAGGAATGCTGGTCTTCACCCGGTCCTCTGGGACACAGGGTAGACACCTGCTTCCTTTGCAGCCACCCGCTCAGCAGGCCTCACGGTGCGCTGCCAGGCTGCCAGTGCCCCCCACCCAGGTGCACTGAGCTGAGAGGCAGGAACCCATGAGCTCAGTGCTCCTTTCTCCTGCCTGCGGTCATATTGCCGTGCACTCCCCAGATCCTATTCTCCCCCCGCCCCCACCTTGCACTCCAACCCCAGGAGGCAGTCAAGTATTAACCCTACCCCCTCTTACTATGGTAACCGATTGCACAGGGTCACTTCAAGCAAATTGGGACTAACACCCCAGCCTCTGGCATGACCGACCCAAACTCAGCCACGCTGTCTGGCAGAGTGAACGTGCCAAATATCCGTGCTTTGGCTACCCTATCCCTCACCATGAGACGACACTCCCCTCCAAGGGCAGGGAGAGGACCCAGGAGTCCTGTGTCCCATATTCCCACGCTGTCTAGCAAATGGTCACGTGTACATCCCTTCCCCCTCGAGTGGCCAGTCCCCATAGGAAAGCCAGTGGCACCGGCAGAGGTGTGTGCTAGGTCTCCAACAGGCCAGAGCTCAACCCTGCTGGCTGCCACAGCAACGATGGTTCCCAGCCTGTTCAGTGCTGTAAATGGCAGAGCCCCATGCAACATGCTGCAGGTACCGCCAATACAGTCACGTGTCCCATGGTGGCAGGTTAGGGATGAGGCTTATTGAGCCTTGGCCACCAGCTGTGCTGCCTGCTGAGCCACTAGTAGGTTTGGGAAGCCGCTGCAGCTGGAAACTCCTCTGGTACCAGCCAGCGTGTTTGCCAGGGAGTTCTGGGCACTGGCTGAGGGAGAAACTGGGCTCAAGTGACCGAGGAGCTGATTGGGGAAGTGCCCATGGGAGGGGAGGAAACTGCCCCCAGTTCCACTTGTGGGTAAAGAGGGCAGGAAACAGGCAGATCCATGTGGGGATCCAGATTGGTTGGAAGCCAGCTCCAGAGTTACAGGCCCTGCTCTGGCTCCAGCTAGCAGCCTGGGGTCCTTTCCCAGCACAGCCAGGAGAGTTAATACAGTCTCAGTCCTTGCAGCTTTTCCACAGGGGGTGGGGGGAAGAGTGCTCTCCCCAACATCTGGGAGGCTCCAGCCTGGAGGGGGGCAGATCCCCCTGCTCTGCACAGGCCAAGGGAGGTGGCTCCATGCTTCCCACCCACCAGGCTCACCCTAAGCTGTCCATCAAACAGCTTGGCCTCCCCACACGCCGTCGGGTGTGCTGCCTGGCATTGGCACAGATGCACAAGCTCTGGCCCCTGAGGGGCCCTGAGAGCAGGCTGTTCATGGAATCACTGCACTTGGGGCACAGGGGTTCTGGGCTTTTTAAAAAAATGCCCTCTACATTTTGGACCAAACTCCCCCACCACCCCCACTTAACCCACCAGCAGCCAGAGGCAGGGTGCAGGAGGTAGATTGGCACTAAGCTATTCCTCAGTGCCCTAGGACTGGTGGGAATCCCCCCAGGCCCTGCGTGGCAGGCTAGGCTTCAGGCACCGTCTAGACAGCCCCTGCGAGCGGCCAGCTCGCTGTATGTACATGTGAACAGTGTAGTTATGACACCCCCTCCTCTCCATGCAGAGCCCTGCCCCAGCCCCAGGCCTGATGCCAGCCCACCCAGCAAGCAGGGGGCCGCACGTTCTTGCACTCCCGTTTTTAATGTTCCTTGTTTGTAATGGTTTTATACGTGTGTTCACGGTGACGTGGAAATAAAGTCTAGGAGGAGAGTCCGACTCACTGAGAGCTGGGGAGGGACATGCCAGAGTGGCATCTGCTCCTGGCATCAGAGGGACAGGGGCATCTTGCAGACACCCCTCTTCCAGCCCTGGGGCACAAGGGCTGCCCCCCTTGCATTTGGCATGGGACCTTCCCCTGAAGTGCTGCAGGCTTCTCGTCCCATCACCCTCCACTGCTGCCATGGCTTTGCAGGGATAACGCTTGGGGGGTTGTGGGGGCTGCCGGGCTTGTGCCTACACTCTGGGTGCAATTGCTGCATGCCCGGGGGGATGGGGAGGCTGCTCAGCCAGGCTGCCTCGCTGAAGCAGAGGGTGAGCTGAGTGCAGGGGGAAGCACAGTCCATATCCAACGGAGCACACACTATCCCCCCACCCAGGCACAGCTGCCCTAGCCAGCACCAAGAGAAGCTTGGATGGCTGTCTCTAGCCAATTGCTCAGTGCCCATGGGCAGGCCCCAGGGACACACCCTGGCCATGGGTTCTCCCATTCCTGCTCATTGGTCATGTATGGCCTGCAGCACCTTCCCCAGCGGCTCCCCCAGAGCTCTGGGAACAGGCAGCAGTTCAGCCCTGCAGTCTCACTGGGAGATCAGAGAGGTTAAGGCCAGATGGGATCATTCAGTCCGATCTCCTGCAGAGCACAGGCAGAAAGCCCACCCCGTGATTGCTGCCACCGGCCCCTATCCAATCTTGAGTTAAGACTCCATGTGACAGAGAATCCCCCAAGTGTCTGGTCAGCTATTCCGTGCGTTAAGTGGCCTCACTGTTAAAAGTGTGTACCTTATTTCCAGCCCAGTCACTGCTTCCAGCCCTTGGAACTAGCGTAGCCTTTGGCTGGCGGATTTAGGAGCTCTCTCCTACTAGAGATCCCTACCTCGGGGAGGTTGACGGACGCTGTGATCAAGGAGGGTCTGGTCCGTGAGGAGGACTCCTGTGTGGTACCCTGCCCCAGCAGACTCAGCCCCATATGGAGGAGGCTCAGCTGGGCCCAGCTACTTCACTCCCGAAGGGGCCTAGCGGCAGCTGGGCAGGAAAAGCAGCCAGCTCCTGTGGGGCAGTGTGAGCGGTGCTGCAGTCCCCTCAGTCCTTGCTCTACCCACCCAAGTGCAGGGGCAAATGTCACTACACTCAGACCACTGCCCACTACAGCAGGACCCTCAGGGGTTCAGCAGGGAACTTGCTCTCTGCCAGAGCTAACAGCTGTCCTATGTCTGCAGGGAAGCACGAACCCTGCCACTGTGGGATCCAGCCCTTACATCAGAATCATGTTCACTGTCTCAGCTTCCAGCTCACATGCTTGCCCCCAGTGCCAGCCCCCGAGAACACCAGCGACGCAGTGCTGTGTTAATAAATACCAACGTGGTGACAGGGTGGAACTGAATTTAATGGCCATTAAATCCCAGCAGCACAGGGCTTGGATTTCACTACACACGCCCCAGATTTTATTTTAAACGAAGCTGCCACCACACATTGTACCTGCCCTCAGGATCCAGGCCCAGCACCTGGGGCTTGCTGGCCACTAAAGACCAGTGGGCTGCCAGCACTGTGGCAGTGACAGAGCAGATGAGGGCCCTTTGGTCCATGCTGTGGGACAGCAAAAGAGCGCCTCGTGTAGAAGGGGTCCCTGGCAGGGCGTGCTCTGCTCTTCCAGGAGACACGGAGGCTGGCTCTGCCCACAGGGGCAACAGCCGAAAGGAGCATGAACCTACGCAGGGGAAAGGCAGGGCCCTGAACTGCCCCAAGACCCACCTTCCCCCAAACAGAGGATGTGGAGTCCCTGGGCTAGGGTCTGTTCACAGCACGTCACCCTTGGGGATGATGGGCAGACAGAGCCCACCCAAGTGATGACAGGGGCCCTGGCTGGGAAGCCAAACACAGACCCACATGAGGGCTGCTCTCCTGGCCATGGCCATACTGACCCCGGAGCTGCATGTGCATGGGGCAGGAGGAGGGAAACAGCCTGGGCACCACCACATCCCGCTTTGCCCGTGAGCCGCCTCCAAGCCATGATCAGCCTGGGCAAGAGGATGGCAGCTGAGCTCGAGCCAGGCGTGGGGGTTGGGCAGGGCTCAGTCCAGCAGCACCTGGCCCAGCTCCCCCTTGCGGAAGGTGCGCAGGAGCTCATAGGCGGCTGCAGGGTAGTCAGGCGCGATCACGTTCACGTCCCCTGCAAGAGAAGGCAAAAGCTGTAGGTGAGCAGGGAGCTCATGGCCCAGCCCAGCACCTCTGGATGGGCTCCAGAGTCCACGACTGTACAGACACAGCCCCAAATGCAGGCCGGGAGCGGGGGGAGAGGAGCTAGCCCCGGCTGGTCCCTGGGCGCTGCATGGCCCTGGTTCCATGCAAACCGACACAAGAGGCTCCCCCACAACACACCACGGCTCAGAGATCCTCCCTCCCCACACCCACAGTCACCAGCCTCCATTGCTCCAATGGGCAACTCCTGCCAGCCCCCACTGCCCTTCCTGGTGCCAGCCCCACACCCTGGCCATGCCTCTTCAGGAAATCACGCTGAACAGAGGGTCTGCAGTTGGCAGCAGCTGGGGCGCTCCTACCCTGCATGCCTTTAGGCCGGGGTGCTCCCCCAGAACCTGCAGTGGGTGGGGCATTCCCCTTCTGTCCCCCACCCACCCAGCTAGGGGGCTCCCTCGTCCTCCCCTCAAGCCTTGGAATCTCCAGGTGGCATGGGCACAGCACTTACCCACCTCCCCACAGGCTCTCCGCCTGGCATGGGAGAGCACTCAACTGTTGACCCCCACAGCTAGCTCTCACCCGTCCCCCCATGGGGTCCCAGGCCTGCAGGGGCACTCACCTGTCCCTGTGAGCACCTTCACTTTGTGCGTCTTGCCCAGTTTCAGTGCCACCCGCTTGAGCACGCTCTCAATGTCGTCGCTGGGCTCGCCCAGCCCATAGCGCTCCACGTAGCTGTGCCAGGGCAGCGAGAGTGGGTTAGCACCACAGGGCAGGGGCAGAAGCACCAGCCAGGCCAGGGTACAGGGCAGCTTTCCCTGGGCAGAGCACTTCAGTGCTCAGGGTGCTCTGGAGCGTGCAGAGGGATGGTGTGGCTGCACAGCATGCAGTGCCTGCTCTGGGGCAAGGCCAGCACCCTCCATGTCACAGTTGACCAGCCAGCCACACAGAAGACAGGTTCCAGGTCCTTCCGGGCGCCTTTCAGCCCCATCAGTGACCCAAGCAGCTCTACTGCCACCTCCTGGGGACAGCAGGGATTTCTGCACATCCCTACGTGTGTGGTGTTCCCGCTGCCACTCTACAAGGACGGCTGCCAGCGCCGGCTGGCTGCGGGGGCCTCTGGCAGCGAACACCTCGCTGCTCTGGCATGGGGCAGCAGGGCTGATACCTGCCCTTTCCAGGTGGGAGCCTTCACTAGCAAAGAGACAGGTTTCAGAGGGGTAGCCGTGTTAGTCTGTATCAGCAAAAAGAACTAGTGACTAACAAATTTATTTGGGCATAAACTTTCGTGCCCACAAAAGCTTATGCCCAAATAAATTTGTTAGTCTCTAAGGTGCCACAAGTACTCTTCGTTCTTTTCACTAGCAAAGCCACCCAGAAACCCCTGCAGACCCTCTGTACAGGAGGCTGACTGTCCCTTTCAAGCCATGAGCACTGCGCCTCCCAGTGGCCAGAAGAGAGCACTGAAGGCACCAGCAAAGCACAGCAGTCGATTCTGGGACAAGAGCTGCATTTTGTTCAACAGGTGCCAGCTCTTGCCAAGGCTTTAGGCCTCAGCCAATCACAGACAAATTCATTGCTGGAAACCAGTCTGTTTCTCTTGTGCGTCAGTATAGCTAAGGTGGGTACTGACCTTAGAACTTTATGAAATGTCTGTAAGTTGTTGCTTGCATCAATCACACTTGTAATATCTTTATCACAAGCTCTAAGATAAATAAGTTTTTGCTTTGTAATTGTAAACAGTGTTTGCTCTGGAATGGTGAACCTGGCAAGAGGCATGTCTCCTGCCCATCAGGCAGGGCTATCAAAACTAAATGAGCCATTGTGGGACATCACAATACAAAGACTGTGTTAATTGTCCCTTCACACCCATGAAGAGGCTAGGAAGGAAATAAAAATAGCTAACATCTCCTTTGACTCTCCCAGGGCTGGAGCCACAAAACAAAAGCAGAGACCCCCCAGGGTCAACCTGGGTTAGCCCTAAAGTCTGTCAGTGCTGACAGATTGCTACAGCTCCATCACCTTTAAAGACCATAGACACACATCATGTGTGTCTATACGGTTGCCTGCTTTAACCTTAAGAGTGCTCTCATTTCTTTTCCTAGTGAATACATCATTAGTTAGTTTACCATAGGCTTGGCTACAAGTGTTGTCTTTGGTGTGAGATCTGAGGTACAAATGGACGGGACTAGCAGCAACCCAAATCTTTTGTGATCTTTGGTACAGAGCAACCAGCCCTCACTAAGTCCAGCTTGCCTGGGTGGCAAGACAGACCGGAGAGCCCAAGGGGACTGTCTGTGATTCCATGGTGAGACTGTTCTAGTTCTTTAGGAGCCCACTTGTTACTGGGCTGGTGCAATCTAATTACAGACCATGCAACTAGCCTGGGGTGTCGCCCTGCTTTTGATAGTCTGCCCTGAGGTTGGCCCTCAAAGTCATGCAGCGTGACACTCTGCATACGACACGCGCTGGGCACCACTCCACCTCCTACAGCCCCTTGTGGCAGCTCAGTGCAGGGGCACCGCCAGCCAGGCTCACATCAGGAGCAGACAGACCCTCCGCTCTGGCAAGGAGCGCCCCTGCTGCAGGAGCTTCCCTGCCAATAGCATGCACAAGAGCAGACTCCAAGCAAGAGCTGAGGGGTGGCACTGGGGAGACATGGGCAGGAGCCAGCCACCAAGACCAGGGAAGCCCCTGGGGTCTCAATGCATGAGCCCACCCAGCCCCACCCCCCGACCCCACAGCAGCCAGGTGCTCAGGAAGTGCTCACCTGAACTGCTGCTGCTTGTTCAGGGTGTACAGCAGGTAGTCGGCCATGACGCCCTCGCCCACCAGGTGGTCCCGGATGGCCCCTATGAGACACAGAACAAAGCCTGAGTGCCAGCCACGCAGGGCAGAGGGCAAGAGACAGCCCCGTCCGCACTGGCCTGGGAGCTGTGCCTCGACCCCTCTCCCACAGGGCTCCAGCCGCCTGCTCTGGGGCCGGCTTGGCCAGCCTGAGAATGTGTGCACAGGGCACCTTCGAGGCGCTGCTCCCCGGGAGCCACCCTGGGCACAGCCAGGCTCCAGCCCACAGTGCCAGACACAGTATGGAGGTGGCCACTGGCCTACTAAGGAGCTCCCCGGGGTGGGGAAATGGGCTGTTCCTACTGAGCTCTAGAGCCTGCAGTGTCACCCCCACCCCGGGGCGAGAGCCCCAGCAGCTGATCTCCTGGATGTTCACCAGCTGCAGCTCACAGCCAGTATGGCCAGGCAGGGGAGAGGGGCAGGGCAGACAGCTGGGCTGGAGCACATGCGCTGAGTGATGCTCCCCCTCCAGGCAGCTGGGAGCAGCAGCCTGTCCCAAGCTGGGCTCCTCAGAGTAGGGGGACAGGCAGTGGCTCTGCCCCAAGCACCCAATAAAAACATGTCTCAAGGCAGGGCCCGTGCTGCCTCCACAAAGCCCTGCTGCCTTTGTGGAGCGTGTCCCCCTCTCCCACACTGTGCCCATGATCATGAGCTCCGGGGCTTCCCTATCTCAGCCCCAGCAGAGCCAAGTGAGGACAGCCCCTGGCCAGAAGCAGCTGCAGCTCCAGCTCCAAAGCCCTTCTCACCACACAGGGCCAGCTTCATGCCCGCCTCCACGCTCTCTATTCTCGGAGCCAGCACTCCAGGCGTGTCCAGCAGATACATAAGGGGCCTCTCGGAAACCTACACAGGCAGAGGCAGGCTTGTTACGAAGCTGTGGGTCAGAGAGCAGAGCCCAAAGCAGCACCCTGAGCAGTGCCAGCACAAACGGAGGGGACTGCTGGCACTTCAAAGCCGATTCCCCCCACCAGCCGACTTGGGAATGGCGTGCGACAACTCTGTGATCCACCAGCCCAGGGCAGAGACTCTGTGGAGCATGAACGCTGGCACTGGAAATGGCCCAGTACAACCGGGCACCCCAGCTCCGCCCCATAGGGTCCCTCGAGCAACCTGCCAGCAGCCCAAGGGCCAAAGCAAAGCACAAAGCGGGGCAGAGCCCAGCCTCCTCCTACATGGGTCACCCACAAAGAACCATACTGGGCTGGTGTCATCCAGGATCTTTCCTGGCAGGCAAAGGAGGCCAAGGAGGGTTCCACACCAGGTGTGGGCTCCTGGCGCTCTGGCTCTGCTGGGGGATGAATGGAGGTGGGTTCAGAACTCCCAGCCCTTACCCAAATGGGTGGGGGTGCTGAATCCTTAGAGAGCTCTTCCCCAAACCCCCTGGGGCTACTGGAGGGCACCCCAACGTAACAGGCCCCAATCATCCAACAGCCTGCATAAACATCGCCTCTTTCCTGAAGCCAGCAGGTCTTCTAGAGCCAGCCAAGAGAAGGCCCGAACCCAGGGCCACTTCCTTTAAAGGTGACCTTTACCAGCAGTGCAGAGACTACAGATCCTGGCATGCACTTCATTGCAGTCCTGGGGACCTGGCGAAGCAGTCCCCTCAAGCCAGGCCTGGGGTCCCAGCTCCCAGCCCCATATTCTATCACTATGGAGCCACGGGAAGGCCCTGCCTGGAGCACACAACCCCAGGGTTATTTTGGAAGCTACCAACGCTGTGTTGTCCCAGGGGTCTCTTAACCCGGTCATCTTCTCACCATTTCAACTGAATGGCTACTGGCCTCACGCAGCCCCTCATGCTGTGCACACATTAGCTACATGCTCTGTACATGGCCAGCACAGCGCCCCAGCCGGCCGTGCTCAGGGGTACAGCTCCCAAGGACAGTACCTGGATTCTGGTAAGCACGGCCTTGGTGATCCCTGGCTCGCTCCCCACACGGGACGCTTTCCCTTCAGGAAAAGGAGAGGCCCAGTCAGCTGAAGAAGGAAGGCTCACTCTGGCCTGGCCTGACCTGCTCCCAGGGCACTGACGGAGCTTTGCCACTGGCCTCATGGCGCAGGGGTGGGCCCTGTGCATATCCAAGAGATCTCCCAGCCATCCCTCTGATCGGTGTGCCTCATGGGACTGACGTCCCAGAGCTGAGGCCCCGTTCAGCCAGCACCTGTTCCCCAGAGAACCCCCCCGGTTTCTCTCTCGCTGCTCCTAAGCAAGTTCTGCCAGCCCCTCTGCATCCCTCATCGAACATCACAGCAACGGCAGAGCAGCTGCAGAGAGGGGAACAAGGGCCCAACTCCCTTGTTGCCTCTGGGGCTTCCTAGCTAAACACTGGCTAAGCCCAGCCCTGCTCAGCTTGGGTGACTGAACAGCCAGGGAAAAGATGCAGCCTGCAGGGCCAATTCAGCAGCTGGGGGAGCCAGTTCTCTGCAGGAGAGGGTTGAACCACTAGGAGGTCTGACGAACCCGCCCCAAGGCCACCTCAAAGCCCCCAGCCCTCCAGGGATTTGTGACCCACAGGCAGGGGTGCTCTCCCCCCGAGCCGCCAGGCACAATGGGAAGGCACACAAGGAAGTACCCTTTTTGAGGTGCAGCCTCCGCATGGAGTTGATAAGGGAGGATTTCCCCACGTTGGGCACTCCGATCACCATGATGCAGTACTCCACGTTCTGGAACAACAGGAAGAGAGATGGATGAGCCGCTCCCTCCCTTGGCAGCAATGCCAGGCAGCACCGCACCAGGCTCCACGTCCCACCCAGCCAGCCCCCAGATCCACCAGCCGGCACTGTGCCAAGCTCCCCGTCCCACCCAGCCAGCCCCCAGGTCCGCCAGCCAGCACTGTGCCAGGCTCCCCGTGGCCCCCCCCACACACACACACCAGGCAGGGCAGAGCTAACAACAGGAGCGTGGATGTGTCCAGGCAGATTAATTTGGATCTGCATGGAAACAAGAAAGTCATAAGCCAGCCTTGCCAGGGAATGGAGGCCGGCACAGTTCATTACACTCTTGGCTTCAGCACAGTCAGGTAGACCAGCTGGAAGCCCAGGCCACCAGTGGAATGTTTCCATCTGAACAGAGAAGCCAGACTCTTCTCCCACTCAAACCGTGGAAAACCAGATTCACTCCACTGGAGTCAGCGTCTCTGCACTGATGCTAGTGTAACCAGGAGCAAGATCCAGCCCCAGGAGCTGAGAGCATGCTGGGGGCCCTACAGCCACCAGAGCGCTGTATCTCCTGCTGGCTCCAATGGGGACGGAGGGCTCTCAGCACTCTGAGAACCAGGACCTCTTTGGGCACCATCTACACGCCGATCAGTGCGTCCAGCTGGACAAGCCCTTTGCCCATGTGGGGAACCGGACAGCAGTGTGTGGGTCTCACTCACACACTTTCCCCATTCTCACTCTGGCCCGTTAGCTGACCTCAGCTCTCTGGTAGCGCTGGCTTCTGCTGACCAGATCCGTGATGAGAGGGATGACCTGCAAGGCAATACAAAGACAGATGCTAAGCAAAGCACTGGTGGCTTTGTCCCGAGTGGGTAGTACCCTGCCGTTAGACTCCTTGGCCAGCACAGTGCTGCTACGAGCAGCCAGGCAGAACTCACTGGCGGGACAGGCACGCCTCCTGCTGCAATGCACCAGCTAGTGGGAAAGCCAGGGACTTCTCTGCAGCTAGCCTGTACTTTAACACAGTTTTAACTGGCAGCTGCTTCCAAATGAAGGTGGTAACAGGATGGACAGAGACACGGTGGGGTGAGTCCTTCCTAGCCGGCTTTCACTTCCAGTTGTGTTCAGAGTACAACTAATGCACAGCTTTAATGCAGACAAAGCAGGGGAGACTGGGAATGTTCACACTGATGGTTTCGGTCCACATAAAAGGTAAGATTCTCCTCTGCCCTCCGCAGGGTGGATGTCAACTGATACCGAGCTCATTTTGCATGCACAGATCTCCCACCGCAGGGCAGAATATGGGAGCTGAAGACTCCCCTGCAGGTCTGAGAGAAGCGCTTGGCCACATTTGTGGCTGCATGAGCATTTAATAACGTTTAAAATAATCAAAGCTTAACCCTGATGTCCCCGGCACAAGTCCTCAGATCCTACTTCTCAGTGTACTGCAACAGCCGTGCCTGCCACTAGGGCACTGCTCAGAAAGGGACATTGTACGGATGTCAGCAGGCAGTGCTGCCCATGTGGTCTCTCAGCAAGCCTGGGGGAAGGTGCACTCAATGTATGAGTAAAGAGATGCTCTTTCTAACTGCCAGCGCCACAAACTCCCCTGGGCTCAGAGGTTCAAGCTGGGCTCTTAGATCTGAAGTCAACAATTCCGAGGCGGCATTAGCTAAAGTGGAATCCTGTAGTAAAAATGTACTGCACAGTCACTAATGGGACCTGATCTCACCGAGGCACCCAGGGCGCTGAACAGCTGAGTGCAGCACGGCTTGCCCTCAGCTCCAAGCAGTCACATTGCAGAGCGGACACACACCGTAAGGAATTGCTGTTAGAAGAGACAGGGGCTGTTACCTTCTTGACATTTTCATCTTTTACGCAGTTTGTGAAGAGGATGTTTTTGAGCCCTTCCTGCTCCAAGCGCTCCAGAATTTTCTAGCAAGAAATGAGAGATTTCCATGTCAGAGAATGCAGCGGCCCACGGTGCCTCCTTGCCCCAGTCACACAGGGCAAACCACGGTAAGGTTGCTCAGGCTGGAGCTAACTGGGGTGAAGTGTGCTGTAGCCATCAGCTGAGTTACCCTTCACAGAGAAGGCACAATGCTAAAACACAAATATCTGTTCAGCTCCCCACTACCTGTCTGGAAAGCATGAATGCTGGTCAGCTCAGAAAGGCAGACAGGCTCCTGTGGGAGGCCCGGAGTCTAGCCCCCCTGCTCTGTGCCCCCCTTTCCCTATCTGTAGAACGGGGATGACAACACTCAGCCAACCCGCCATAGCTCACAGGGGTGCGGTGAGGATCAGGGAGTGTTACATGGCTATGCTACCTACAATGGAGACTGCAGGCTGAATCCAGGATCGTTCAGCCAAGTAGTATATGACAACAATGACAACAGCAGCAGCAACTCTGCTGCCTCTGCCACACAAAGACCCCAGCCCTGTGGTGCCTCCATCCTGGCCCAGAGGACAGCTCTCTGGACTGAGCCTCACTGCTAGAACCCAACAAGGAGAAAGTGTGCGAAGGATGGTTCAAACACAGAGCTAGTGGCAGATCAAGCCATCAGCAAGGGTGCCCGGCACAGGTCACTGAACAGCCAGGTATCAGCAGACACCAGTGGGGATTACTGTCAGCTGAGTGAAGGAGCTGTCCAGGGGGAGCCTATCTCCCCCACTGCACCCACTGGTTGGCTGGACGGTCTCCAAAAAGAGCTGCAGCTGGCTTGGACCCTGTAAAGACGTGGCCTGTTTGACAGTCGGGGGTTTTGGATCTCCTTAGTGCCATCTCGATGGACTGCTGGCCACATCCTGCATCCGCAGCCTAGCGCTGGGAGATGGAGGACTAAAGGAAGAGGGAACGAGGGACGTTTATGAACTGAAAGCCTTACTTAAATACCTCCCCGTTTCAAACACTTCAACTATTTTTCTTTTCTTCTGGATCTTTAATAAAAGACTGTTTCACGGTGTGTTTGCCATGGCACTAAACAGGCTGAGGCCTCTGTATACCAAACTCTGAACCTTGTTTAACACTGTTTAACGTTGGGACAGTGCCTAGGTTATGTTAACACATTTGGCCCAAACGGGAGAGCTTCTCCCATCGGCGTAACTAATCCACCGCTGAGGCGCACTAGCTATATGAACGGGAGAAGCCCTCCTGTCGCCATAGCGCTGTGTACACAGGGGGTGAAGTTGGTATGACTGTGTTGCTCAGGGGTGTGGATTTTTCATGCCCGAGCCACATAGTTATACCACTGTAAGTTTATAATGTAGACCTGGCCTCAGCCCCAACGTTTACTCTAGATTACAAGGAGAAGCTGCATCATTGAATTAAACAGGAAGATGGTTGTGAAGAATGGGAGGAGAAAGACTTTAAACTGGGTTCTTACTGCTTTGTGAGTCAGATCAGCCAGGTCCATTTTGTTCAGTACAAGCAGGTGAGGTCTGATTCCCAGGGCCTCCTGGAAGGCCGGGTTCCGGCCTGAGAATGGGATGTGCTACCGTTAAGGAAGCCAAAGAACTGAGATACCCGCAGTGACAGGGAAGGGTTCAGCCCGCAGAACTCTGCTTCATTGGAGACAAACTCTCACCTCCCACAAGGCAAGTTCCCGCAGCCCCGTCAGCACACCGCACCACGGCAAGGCCCCAGCCAGGGAGGGAAGCAGTGGGGAACAGAGGGCTACGCACAGCCCCGCGGGCTCTATGTACTGGCTTTGGAAGGATGCAGCAGCCCAGGGGCTACACATGGTGCTGAGCAAGGGGGCAGGGCTCCGCTGTGCTGCTTGGGCTCTGGCCGTGGTGCTACCAGCACAGCCTCCACCCAGGCCACCTGCTCCGGCCACCGAAGGATATTCGGGCATCGTGCACCTCGATGAGGCAGTCCACCTTGCGCAGCGACTCCTTCATCCGCCGCAGGCCTGCCAAAGTGGAGCCAGGTCAGCTGTGCCCACAAAGCCTGGCTGCAGGGGAAGGGACTGGCTCAGCCCTGCCCACAGCTCAGACCAGGCCCTGGGCAGAGATGCCCTACAGGCTGGGCCTGAGCCTGCCTGGCCATAATAAGTAGGGTGACCAGATGTCCTGATTTTATGGGGACAGTCCTGATATTTGGGTCTTTTTCTCATACAGGCTCCTATTACCCCCCCACCCCCTGTCCCGATTTTTCACACTTGCTGTCTGGTCATCCCAATAATAAGGCGCCTGCAGGAGTCCGGACTTCCAGCGGGCCCCAAATATTGCGGGAGTCGGGACTGACAGGGCTGCCATCTTTGAAAGGCAGCAAACCTGGTACCCCCCGACAAGGCAAACCCAGTATCCGGAGAGAGCCCACACACAGATCGATCACAGCGGGTCTCCCCCGCTTGGGGCGCCTGCACGTGGCGGGGCAGGCAGTTGTTCGGGGCGGGGCGGGCTCCCGCGTACGCTGCGGCGGGGGAACGCGGCGGGCTCCGCAGCGGGCACAGACACTGCTCGTCCCCCGGGCGTTGGGAGAACAAGCGAATCTCCAGCCCCACGGCACATAACCCGGCAGATTCAATTAGTCCTCCGGCAAATCCCTGAGCCGGCCCGGAGTCACCCTCGGGCAAAGCGCCGCGGCCCAGCCCCCCACCTTTGGCCATGTGCCCGGGGAACCAGGAGGCCACGTTCCGGCCGCCGAAATCGAAGCGCTCCCGCCAGGCCCGCAGCGCACCCGCCGCCAGCCGCATCCCGCCGCCGGAACCCACCAGCCGCCAGGGGAGCGACCCGGAGCGCGCCCTCCGCAACACCCCCCGCCCGGCCAGCTTCCGGTTCCGGCCGCTCACAGGCCCCGCCCCCAGACCACTCGGCCGGGCCGGGCCGAGAATAACGGGAGAAGCCAAAACGTCACAACCAGAGCTGCGTCCCAACAACCATTCTACGGGGTGTGTGTGTCCCTCATCGCCTGGCAACAAGGCAGTCGTAGGCGCATCTATGACCCGCCCCTGCCCGAACTCCGGGCCCTGGGGGCCCGCGCTGTGGTGTGACTCCATTGGGGGCGGGGCTTTGTGACGTAGGGTGTTGGGGCGGGGCGGTGGTGGCTGCGCCTGTGCCGCCGGAGGCGGCCTGAGGTGAGATGGCGGCGCGGGAGCTGCAGTTCTGTGAGCTGGGAAGGGGGGGGCACGGCGGGCTGGTTGGTACCTGGGGCGGATTGAGCCGGGCTGGTACCGGGCGGCAATACTGCGGGCGGGCTGGTACCGGGGGGGGGGCAAGGCAGGGTACTGACCGCGGCTCCTATGACACACACCTCTCTCTCTCTCTCTCTCCCCAGGCAGCGATGGCAGAGCCGCGGTGTGAGGGGCAGCCAGGGTGTGGCACAAGGAGTACGGACTCATCCCCTGGCCTGTCAGGCACGTCCCCCCAAGCTGGGGCAGCACCCCCCGCAGCTCCCCCCGCCAGGGCAGCGCCCCCTGGGCCAGGCACAAGACCCCTTCCCAGCGCAGCTCCTCCCGTGGCGCCCCCTGCCATGGCATCAGCACCTGTGCCAGGCAAAAGCCCCCCTGCCAGGGTGGCTCCCCCCACTCCATCTGAAACAATGCCCCCCATGCCAGCCGAGGAAACACCCATGCTACTGCTGGATGATGTGCGATACCAGATCGCTTGCACCAACTGGTACTAGAGCTGTCCAGCTCCACAGCATCTGGAAGGCAAGTCTCAGACCCCGCTGCGCCAGGCACCCAGTGATGCAGATGGACTCCAAGTCGCCTCCAGGAGCGCCTGTATTACTGCCCTCCTTGAAGATGACATCCTGCGTACTGCTGCATCTGATGCTTTGAATAAAGAGCCAGGGTCAAAGCTGCTGAGTTCCTGCTCTTCTCTCTGGCTACTAGGCTCCCAGTTCTACCAGCTTTCATGCTGATATCCCCAAATCATGTGGACAGCGACCCCTGTCATAACCACAGGGCTTTACTCTCTCCCCTCACCCACAGAAACTTTCCTTCCCAAGGGGCCATATCCCCTCTCTCTCCCATGCACACGTGTCCTGCCTTCTTGTGCTTTATACACTAACAGAGCCTGTACACAGTGTGCTGACTGCGCAGCTTGCTGTTTTCAGAATCAAATCCACTTTTTGCTGGATTTATGCTTCTCCCCAGCAAAAGATATTGCCTTCCCAAAATTCACCTTCCAACCCCCACCCCACCCAATTGAGCTACAGAGTTGTTCAACACATAAGACCAGGTTTTTTTAATAATGGTGAGTGCATTCCCTCTCCCACCACTCTAATACTCAAAGGCAGCTAAAATCTTTTTTAAAATACTGCCCTCTGCCAGAAAGCAAGGGTGAATAGCAGGAGCCCAAACTGTGAGGTTTGCAGCGCCGTGAGTGACTGTAAACAGTGTGAAAACAGAAACCATTGTATAGCCTTAGTTGAAGAAGTTGGGGCTACCTCTACCATCATTTTTGCTGCTCACTTCCTAAAGTGCTGAGTAAAATAATTGCCTTTAAGCAACATTTATCCTGTTGCTAGAAGCGTGAGAAGAATGAAATAACCAGCGTGCAGACCTCCTTCAATGTTGCCAATGCCATGTACACAGGGAACGCAGAAAAGCATGCCTACGCACAGCGGTATGCGGTAAGATTCCTCCAGCCAGCAAAAATACATAGATGGGGAATTGCCACAGGGTCCGAACGTGGCTCACCACTTCATTGCAGTAGGGTTTCTTTGGGTTTGCAGTGGCTTAGCTGGGAGCAGCACTGGGCTCCATGTGTTCAGAGCTAACCAGACTTGGTCTATGAGGCTTTAAGTGCATGTCAAATCTGAACTTGTGCAATAGGTCTGAAAATAGCAGTGTAAATGGTTCTCAAACTTATTTGATCGCACCTCCCTTCTTTGTGGCTGTAGTAGTTTACACCCCCCACCTCTGAGTGCTGCCCCGCAGCCACTGCTCTGCAACTGCCCAGCTCTAAATGTGTAAAGTGAATTTTTTCCCGAAAGCTTCTCATGGTCCCCAGAATACATTCTGCACCCTCAGTTTGAGAACCTCTGGTGTAAGAAGTCTCTATCTCCCTGCTGGGCAGAGGGAGGGGAGGGTGGCACTTTATTCAACTGACAGAATGGCAATGCATTACAGTTTTCTAAGAATTAGGGCCGGGGTTCATAGTACTTTACTGAAACATGCAACTCTGTGTGGTGCCAAGGCCACTAGGAGGAGGCTAAGGGGTGCCGTTGACACCTCATCCCCACTGTGTTCCAGCAGTCTCACTTCACAGCAGCTTGGCTGCTGGCCACAGAGGCTCTCTTCGCAGCAGGCTGAACCTTGGTCCTAATAGCATGGTAGATGAGGCACTCCTCTGCAGTGATTTACTGCCTGGGCAGCTTCTTGTAGCAGATCCTCTGATGAGTCTGTCCTCCTTGGGAGGTTGCACAGCAGCTGGCAGTTCAGCGTGACCAGCTGGTGGTGCTCTGGGAGGGGGACAGAAGGGCATTGGGGTTTCTGGCTCAAGAGCAAGGTGATGGCTGTGGAATGGAATTGTTCCCGGTGTCATTTTAGACAGGATAGTATCCCACATCAAAGCTAGCTGCTCCTTTCCTTACCACCACCCCACGCTAATTTCAGACCCTCCCTCCTTCCCTTTGCCAAGCATCCAGATCAGCCCTCCTGGAAGGGCAAGGAATTGGCTCCCTCCTTGTATCCTAGATTGTTTCAATGGATTCACTTCCCCTCTCCTCATGCCTACACTCTCCTCCTTTCCCTGCTATCTCTCAGTGCTGGAGGATCTTCTTGCCAGCAGCCTGGCCCTCTAGAAAATGAGCCCCTATCCCCTCCTGTAGTTCAGTTCTGCCCCACTCTCATGCACCCTACATTGCGATTCTTGTCAACAACTTGGGCTTTGATGCTAAATCCACCTGTCTCCTCCCAGGGCTGGGCTGACTCCTCCAGCTTAGCAGAGTGCTGGGGGCTGTTGTTCCTAGTCCCCTCTTGCACAGTCACATTGCTGTGGGGGTCCCAATGGCTATAGGCAGAAACTGCCCTTTGCATGCCTCTTCTGATCAGTGGCTTCAGTTTACTTGACACCAGCTCTCCAGGGTGAGAAGAGCCTCCACCCACCGCTGCATGTCTGCCCCTGCTAACTCCACCCTTCACTCATCTCCACTCCACAACCTTGGCATCATTACTGGCCCTGCCGTTCCCACCCTTGCAGCACAGCCTGAGTACACCACAGCCGCATCTGCTGTTGTCCTGGCTCCCGCTGCTCATCTCCATGGCCTCTGACTTGTACGTGGCTTAAATCAGGGCAGGTTGAGTGGATAACAGCCCAGCCGAGTTTGGAGGAATTTTAACCTGGCACTAATCTTTTCCATTAAGCAGATAAGCTGAGGCCAGACTGTGCTTTCACACTCCAGGACGCATGTAAGATTCGTGCTGGTGTCTCCTGCTGGCAAGGGGAGGGGATGCTCGGCCCCCCGGAGCTGCTCTGCTTTGAACAGGAACAGCACTTTCCAGGCCTTTGGGCACCAGCAACGAGAGCCAAGTGCTCCTCTCCCTCCTGTCTGCACAGTCACAGGGACGGGGTGAACAAACTCCTAGACAATGGAGAACTCGCGCTATGGCCCAGGAGAGGTGGCTGCCCCTAGGTTTCCCTTGGGCTGTATTACCTGGACTTGCTGTTGGTGTCTGTGGGGCAGGCTGAGGGGCATAGCATTCAGCTCTATCCTCCCCACACCTTGGGGGCAGGGCCATACTGGATACGGGGCCACCAGGCCTTTGGGACACTGACACCCCTCAGCCAGGCAAGGATCCACCCATTTTTGCCCTGGAGAGGACAACGGGAAATTCAGCCGGCAGTTTTCACACAGCCCTTCCATGGTCCGACTTCCCACCCTAGCGATGGGAATGTCAGAGCTGAAGTCAAGGCCCACTGGAGAGAATGGGACTCTGCCCATTGCTTTCAGCAGGGCTTAGGGGTCACACATTTACACTGCCTATCTCAGGAGTGTTCGGGGCTTGTGACCTGGCACGTGGGTCACAAGTTTACAGCAGCTGCCTCAGGAGTGTTCGGGGCTTGGGTCACACGTTTACACCGACTATCTCAGGAGCATCCAGGGCTTGTAACCTGGCGTGTGGGTCACATGTTTACACCACCTGGCTCAGGAGCGACCGGGGTTTGTGGCCTGACATGTGGGTCACACATTTACACCACCAGTCTCAGGAGCATCCTGGCTACGATGTTCCTCTCAGGAGCAGGCAGAGAAGACAAGCTGCAACCGCAAAGCCCTAACGATAGAGATTTACTTGTTACTACTGACAGCACTCCATTGCATAGTTAGGTGACGTTTCAATTCCCCAGTCCCCCTCATCCGTGTGGGTGCTGCAGCTCCCAGTGCTCGGTTCAAGCCTACAGCTACCCTGCCTTTAGTCTGATCGCAGGGAGATGAGAGACAAGCCACAAAGAGCGGGCGCGCCGGCTCAAGACAAACTAACCCCTTTCCCTTGGCAACGGCAAGGGACAGAAGGAATCAGAGGTTGAGGAACGAGCTGGAAACCAGAAGCCACCACATCCCGGTAGCAGGGAGAAGCGAGCAAGCAATATCAGAGCCGAGGCTTGTGCTGGTGGGATTCAGATGTGTCATACAGGCTGAGCAGACGGTCGGCCTCCCGCCAGCCTGACAGAAGGGCCCCATGCGTAGTGGAGTAGAAAGTCCGATGCGTGGCTTCTCCAGCAAAGAGAACCTGCTGCG